GCAGGAAGGCCAGGGCAAGCCACTGTCTCCTAACTTAAAGTCTTATGATGTAGTTTACTCAGCTCTATTTCAATAATTGCTCTTGGCTGAAGCGTGTGCTAAAATATGTTGAAGGAAAAAGTAATAAGATCTTCTCTATTGTTGAAGGTGCTCACAGAAGCTTTTCAAGCTATTTGGGGGATGTGGACATTGCAGATTTAGGCCGCATCTTCACAGCACAAAGACATCCCATGAAGCACTTCTAGAGAACATATCTTCATGCAACCCCTGAGGCAACCCAAAGACAGCTTTAAGCAGTGGTGGAATTCAAATAATTTTAACAACCTGTTCGCCCAGGGTCAGGTTGGTTGTCGTGAGAGGCATTGCCCAACCTGATCCCGGGTGAACTGGTTGTTAAATTACACCACCTCCTCTGCTATCAAAGTGGATCCTGGACGCTGCGCTGCAATGGAGAAATGGGCAACGGAGCAGCCGGCAGGAGGGAAGGAGGAGGAGCAGGGAGAAGAAAGAGGGAAAACATCCTTCTCCTTCCCTCATTATTGCCGTTCCATTGCCTGTTTCTCCCTTGCAGCACAGTGCCCAGGATCCACTTTGATAGTGGTGGTGGTGGTGAGTAATTTAACAATGGGTTCGACTGAACCAGTGCAAACTGGTGGAATACCACCACTGGCTTTAAGGATTCCATTTTGGAAGTGATGTTTCCTCTACTATTCTGGTTCAAGTTGTCCCATCAGGACAATATATGGTACAGGGAAAAGAAGGTTTGAGGTCATCCAGTTGGGAGTTGTGATATCCTTATACCCAGTTGATCTGCTGGTCTGTCAGAACTTTCATGAGGCTGAGTCCCTTCAGGCAGCCATCTGGCATCAGTAATTCTTTTGCAGTGCTGATTTACTTTCTAGAAGATAGACCAGAATCCTGGTGTGGGCAGTTATTTCAAGTCAGCATAGAGCAGGGTGACATGAGGTCCTTCTGGCTCCTGGATAGGAAGCAAAGTCAACAAAAACAGTGGTGGCGCAATGTTAAAATGCAGTATTGCAGGCTAACTCTACTTACCGCCAGCAGTTCGATACTCATCGACTCAGGGTTGACTCATCCTTTTGAGCTCAGTAAAATAAGGACTCAGATTGTTGGGGGCAATATGCTGACTCTTTAAACCACTTAGGGAGGGTTGTAAAGCACCGGGAAATGGTATATACATAATAAGTCTATTGCTAGTGCTGTGTGGGTGTCATCTGAGAGAATCAGGAGTTCAGTGTGGGTTGGATAGCATCACCACCAGATGGATTCGTAACTAGCTGACCAACCGCACTCAACGTGTAGTCCTCAATGGAACTGCATCTACATGGGGGGAAGTATGCAGTGGAGTACCCCAAGGCTCTGTTTTAAGCCCAGTACACTTCAACATCTTCATCAATTATTTGCATGAGGGAATAAATGGGGAATTCATCAAATTTGCAAATGACACCAAGCTGGCAGGACTAGCCAACACTCCAGAAGATAGGCTCAAGATACAGAAGGATCTTGACAAACTTGATTTTTGGGCACTATCTAATAAAATGAAATTCAATGGTGAAAAGAGTAAGGTTCTACATTTAGGCAGGAAAAACGAAATGCACAGGTAAAGTATAGGTGCTATCTTGCTCAGTAGTAGTAACTGTGAGAGGGATCTTGGAGTCCTAGTGGACAACCATTTAAATATGAGCCAGCAGTGTGCAGCAGCTGCCAAAACAGCCAACACAGTTCTAGGCTGCATTAACAGAGGGACAGAATCAAGATCACGTGAAATGTTAATACCACTTTATAATGCCTTGGTAAGGCCACACTTGAAATACTGCATTCGGTTTTGGTCGCCACGATGTAGAAAAGATGTGGAGACTCTAGAAAGAGTGCAGAGAAGAGCAACAAAGATGATTAGGGGACTGGAGGCTAAAACATATGAAGAACGGTTGCAGGAACTGGGTATGTCTAGTTTAATAGAAAGAAGAACTAGGGGAGACATGATAGCAGTGTTCCAATATCTCAGGGGTTGCCACAAAGAAGAGGGAGTCAAACTATTCTCCAAAGCACCTGAGGGTAGAACAAGAAGCAATGGGTGGAAACTAATCAAGGAGAGAAGCAACTTAGAACTGAGAAGAAATTTCCTGACAGTTAGAACAATTAATCAGTGGAACAGCTTGCCTCCAGAAGTTGTGAATGCCTCAACACTGAAAATCTTTAAGAAGATGTTGGATAGCCATCTGTCTGAAACAGTATAGGGTTTCCTGCCTAGGCAGGGGGTTGGACTAGAAGACCTCCAAGATCCCTTCCAACTCTGCTATTGTATTGTATTGGTACAATGTAAGGCAATATTGCTGTCAAGAGATCAAAGCCTAAAGGATTCTGGCTTCATGACCTGCAGCTTAGTATTTTTATTATTGCCAGAATTGATCCAGTGATTTTCTTGGATGTAAAACATACAGCTCCTCTCCAATATGTTACATTATACATCATTGCTTCCCTGGGCTTGCAAACCATGCAGGTGAATGTCTTTTGAGAAGAAAGCTTTGCAAGGATGACTATGACACTGAAAAGCCTTAATGAGAGATGGATCATGAACACCACAGTGCTCTGGCTTATATGGAGGCTTCCATAAATAAATAAAACCTGTCTCTGCCCCAAGCAAATGTTTAGTAATGCACAGGATGGAAATTAATAGAGTGACTAAGCTTATCTGCAATTGTTCAGTTCTGGAATCAAAGGACGAATTAAGCTTATAATAGATTTACAGCCCAGCCCTACAGATGATTTGCTCAAAAGGGGAATTGCACCTGTTCATGTTAAGCTATAGTATGAGTCAAATTCCTCAACCCTTAAATTTCTTTCTTTCGTCTCCCTGCTTTCAAACATATAACTAACCTGGGCTGATCTTGAAAAACGTAGTAGAATCAGATTTGGTAAACAGATCACTGGAAAATATTAGACTTGCAGGTCAGACCTGGAACTCCCTCCACTCCATATAAGTCCTGGAAGAAGCCAGTTGCAAAAACACTGAGGGGGGGAAAACCCTAGCCAAGCACTTCTGTTAAGGCACCAGTTATTGAGACTACCTCAAGGGAGTCTTTACACGTTCATGATGGGCCATGAGTCACATCATTAGGGTACACTGAAATGTCATCATAAAAGCCCTAATACAAGGCTATGTATATCTCTGGAACTTTATACACTTAAGGGTCCTTGCTACTCAGCAGTTTCAGCTATTCAGTTCTCTTTTCTTTTCTGTGTGTGTATGTGGGAAGGGAGTTCCCGACTATTTTAGATGTTGCCATGGAAATATTGAATTCAGAAATATCGTGAATCTTAACCGTATCACTGGTGTATGTTCCTAGTTTATTATTTTATTTGATACCAAATTAATAGGCACATACTTCTCAGTAGCATCTACAACTACCTATAACGGTGCCAGCACAATGATATGCATTAGGTGACACCATTCCGCCAATGTTCCATCATGTATTTACATCCTGACAGCTGATGTAAGTACTTAAGTCATGGCAACATCTAGCATTTACTCTCAACCACCACCCTCACCTTCAATAGCAGAGCACTGACATTTAGACTTATATATTGCTAGCATATTGCCCCCAACAATCTGGGTCCTAATTTTATTCAACCACCTGAATCAACCTTAAGCCAGTCAGGATCAAACTCCTGGCATTGGGCAGAGTTAGCCTGCAATACTGCATTCTAATCATGCACCACCACAGTATACATCCATGGCACATCTTTAAATAAGGAAAACTATTTTTCTGTTTTCCATCATTCTCCCAGGAACTCAATATGGTTTAATGGGAATCTGCATTTTATCCTCACATGCTATAAGGTAGATTGCATAGGCAAAGAGTGGGCTAAAGTTTCCAGTAGGTTCTACCCCACATCTCTCAGTTTAAGGGTGAATTAAAATTAAGAGAAAAAGTTCAAATGGTTCCTTGCAGAGCGAATATGTGAAAGGAGCTGAAGGTTTTCACAGCCCTGGAGATGATTCTCTGCTGCTACTTACAGAATATCAACCAAGTGAGCTGGTTTTCAGTTTATCATTAACAAGGAGATGCCATGTCTATGGAGATTCTCAATCATCCAGGTCATGCTTGTCTCAAAGGGGCTTTTTAAAGAGGCAACTGGACTTTCTGATTTTTCTTTGAAGTCGTTTCACTTCTCACCCAAGAAGCTTCTTCAGCTCTGACTGGATGGTGGGGAAGGAGATGCCATTCATTCACTTCATAAAAAGTCCAATCATTGTGGTCATTGTTCCAGTACATTTCAAGTAGAAAACAATCTCGACAAATAACACAAAAGTAAGATAAATAAGCTCAGGAGTTTGAAGGTGCCGATGAAATCTTCCAAAAAGCAAATTGGAAATATTGCAAAGAAGTCTTGTTCCATGGCAGAAGATGCATTTGAACCAGACTCTCTCTGGGTTTAGTCCATCAGTAACCTGTTAATAAAATGTAATAGGTGGGGAGTGCTGGAAGAAGAAAGCAGTGTATCACCTACACTGATGTTATGTCTTTGGGGGGGTGGGCGGAATGTGTGCATGAAACCCAAACTGGTCAGCAGCATTTTCACCAGAGGTATTAACACCACCATGGAGAAGATTCAGGGAACTTTTCTTTACTGACTAGAGAAGACAGTTCCCAGACACATTTTTTTTTAAAAAAAATTGTCTTCTCCTCTGTTTGTGAAAGAGACACCTCTATGAATGGCTATTACAGCACAAATCTGATTGCTCAGAAATCCATTCTGTGTAAATCCCATGGCTCTGCGGTGCCACTCTGCCGGCTGAGAAGGTAATTGAGAAAGAAGGCAGCTTTACCTACCAGCCAGATCTTCCCCTCCCTACCCCCCTCAGTCTCTTGCAGCCTCTCTGACTGCCTGTGACATCATTGCTGACAGAAGCCAATAAGACCACTCTCCCCCTTTCTCTGGAATACAGCGTGTGCTGGAGCTGAGCAGTGAGCTGTTATCCATGTTCAGTCAATCTGGCTGATGCAGCGAAGGGTTCAGTTGCTAGGGTCCCGAGGGCCTGGGAGCACACACGCCAGCTGTTTTCCATGCAGGGAATGGGGAACTTCCGACTGGGGAGAAGGACTGTGATGTACACAGTGGAAACTATTCCTAAAGGGAAGAACCGAGTGCTGGGGGTGAGTGACAGAAGCTTGGGAGAACCCCCTCTGGGTAGGGAGCTGGGTTGGGTAAGGTTGTGGGGTGGATAGAAGAGTTGGGGATGGGTTTCTCCTGCATGGTACTGGCTCTCTTGATTTAGGCTAAGCAGTGTGATTCTCTGATGCGTGTGTGTATGTGTGAATGGGGGTGGGTGGGTGGCTGGGAAGAGGTGGAATCAGAGAAAAGCTTTAGACTAAATCAATGTAAATGTGGGAACCAATCATGTCCCCATTTAGGGAAAATAATGACCAATTTGGCTAGAACACCTTTCTGAAAATAGCTTGCTTTGTTCATTTTAAGAATGATCTTCTGCCAACATATATATATTTATATATATTCCAGTGCTAAATATCCCCAGCAGTAGGAATGAAGTCTGGTGCCAGCAAGGAGAGTAATAAATGATCTGGCTGACCCACAACTTCAGAATTGCTCTCTCTTGTTAAGACTGGGCACTATCTTCAATGTTTGACTTGGGAGAGCAGCATTCTTCTGATTAGATGCTGAAGTCAATGCCCTAAGTACATAGGAGAAGTGGATAATGTCAATCTAGGAAGAAAATCTATTAAAATGCAGCAGAAAGCTGTCGACAGTGTTCACAGCTGAGAATTATTGTATTGTATCAATGAAACCTGTTTGTTTAGAGGAGGTTTAGCTCTTAATATCAAATATTAAATCCAGCCATTAAAAATGCCCATCATTTCTATGCCATTTAAAGCTTCCTCAAGTTAATGACAAAGTTCAGTTACGTGGATCCTAATTGGGGAAACATTTCTAGGATTAGGTTGATCCTGGATTGCCCAGAAAACTAAACCCAGAGTCCCTGTATCTGTGATTACACATACCCACAGGGATGATTTCTATTATTATTTTTTAAATCCATATTGTCCACCCAGTGCTCAGCCTAACTGCAGCCTTTTTTTTAAGGCTGCAGTTAGAATTTAGTAAGTTCTAATTTTTTAAAAAAACTGATCTTCAAAGGATAAAGCCACAGCTTCTATAAATTAAGCCAAAAGATGCATGTTTTCTTTTGCAGCTAGAGAGAAATAGCATTCTCTTAACCCTGTCCCTGCCACCACCCTCCATCTTTCTTCCATGTCTCCCCCACAGTGATTAATAATTGGGGAAAATAAAGGCATTTAGAACTGTCCTTCAAGAGCACATCATAAGTAGTCCTGTCCAGTGCTGTGGCATTCTCTTGCATTGTGTAAGTCAGTAAGAAGGTTTTTTCTTCTAGAGACAAAATACATTTAAAGATTGAAGCTTAAGCATAAACCCATCTCTATTCATCTTTGTACAGAAATCGCCATGCACTCTCTAAAGGGTATCAGCCATGGAGAAATGCTGAATAAATAAATGGCTACATTGCAAAGGGAAATCCTGCAACTGAGTCAGTGCTTTTTTGCTACTATAGAAGCACATAAAGGTGCTTTTCTAAGAATAGATGTGGTATTCTCTTGGGATTGCCCAGATGACAACTACTAAGTCCCTTTTTGAAGGCAACAGAGCTTCTAACTGGGATGACTGGGATTGTGAAATATCAGATAGGCTATAAGATTGCTCTGGATCCATATATATATATATCTGGTTGAAAAAAGCAGTAACAGCATGTTGCCCTGTTTTTCAAGCAGTGCTTAGATGGAAGGAACTATATATTCACTTTTCCCGTCCCAGCTAATTGCAGAAGTTGCATTATTGTCTCTTTCAGTGTACCAAAGTATTAAAATGAAGATAATGTTCCAATAGAAATAAGGGATACAGATTATATAATTAACAAAAAACCAAAAGGAGGGAATAAATATCATAGGGTTGTTTTTTAAAAAAAGAAAATCCAGAAACTTTGATCAGGGTTATCATAACATTTTTTTCCCATTAGGTTTCAGTTATGCAGGGGGGCATCTGTTGATGGCAGATTCTGTCTGTTTTTGAACCAGATATTCTGCCTTTAAAAAAATGTTCCACGCAGTGGCAAAGCAGAAGGTAGATCTGCATAGGCAAAATTCACATTTAGCAATAATCATTTTACAGAGAAAAACCAGGCCTAGTGGGGAAGAAGGGAGCAGATGGCTTGTTCTCCTGCACAGTTGCCATTCCAGGTCCTCTCTACTTATGAGCAATTCCATGCCTTTGTCTTTCTGTTTCTCCCGGTCTTTCAGCTTGCCCTGGACAAAGGAATGCCTTCTGTAAAGACATCCATATGGCATGTTGCCATTTTAGATGTGTTCTGACTGATTTGCTCTGACTGGCATTTGCTCTCCCAGACATCTGCCAGCCTCATCTGATGCATCAGTATCTCTTAACTTAGAAAAATTAATCAAGCAATCCCAAAGCTACCAGACTCATTGTGTGGAGTTTGCTGATTCCAGTCCAGTACCTTTTTCACATTTTACCATGAGGATAATGATAAATTTTCCTACTTATAATCCACCCAAACACTGTTGTCAGGCTGTCTGGCAACACTACAATAACTATGTAGCTTTTACCCAAACATTGGACTCTCTTCTGAAAATCTGCCCTCTTCCTTCCTTCCCCTTCTCCTTTTCCTTCTCCTTCTCCCCCTCCCCTCCCTCCCCATCCATCCATCCATTCATCCACAATAAACAAACAAAGAAACAAAAATTGCACCATAGCAGAACAAAACAAAATTTGAAAACCAAACTCCTGCTTAATTTCCCATAAAAATTCATTTTCCACCCAAAGGTGTGAAATGGAATTTTAAACATTCATATCCAGTATTTGTATCTAAAAGGACACTTCTACAGACAGAGGCAATATATTAGGAATTCCTTCATAAGGAGAAGTAAATTATAAAAATCAAGTAGACGTAAGCATTTCCTTACTACAATGAAACTTGCTCCAATTGAATAATTCAGAATTTATGTAATGAACTTTAAATGCAACTGCTAACATTTCCAATCATTTATCTCCTGAAATAACAGGCAAGGCTGTTGCATCCAAAATAATTGATCAAGGGGATTAAATTAAATTTTAATTTGATAATATTTATGAGTGATGAAAATGATGTTGTTGTAAAAATGACATAGATTGACACAAATGATATACTTTGAGTTTTAACAGACATTTGAGAACACCAGATATTCTCTCCCCAATTACAGTAAATCAAGGGCTTGTTATATTACTCTTCTGTATTTGTCCATTCTAGATTTTTGATTATTGTCAAGAGATTAAAAGTAAAAACTGGAGTGCTCAAATCAACATAGGCCAGGTGGCAATAAAAAGCTGCTCCTGGAAAGTCTTCTAGTTGCAGTTCCAACTAGCTACACCCATTGTTATGACTCCCAATCAGGGGTGGGTTCCTGTCAGTTCTAACCTCTTCTATAGGAGTGGTTCCCCAAATCTACAGTGCTGTTTAGAACAGGTTCCAGCTGCCTCCCCTCGCCTGTCCGCACATCATCAAGATGAAGAGTGAGAGGAGGAATTCTGGAAGTTGAAGTCCACAAGTCTTAAAGTTGTCAAGTTTGAACACCCCTGGGGTTTTATTCTAAAGGGTTAGAGGTGCAAGGGTCTTGTAACTTGACAGCTTTAAGACTTGTGTGCTTCAAATGCTAGAGTTTCTGAGCCACCACTGCTCCCAATTGAGGTTTATATAAACCACCAACAAAAGTGAAAAGGTTATAAGTTTTTTTTCAGGTGTACTATTTGAGGGCAGGGGGATTTGTTCCCATCCCCCATATCCTAAAGATACAAGTACTGTATTTATGAAATCTGGGTTGAATGGAAAGCTGGATTTTAACACAGTCCTTATATTCGCTATGGCAACCTTCTTCACCACAGACAATGACTTTGCTTGAGTACTTGGGGAATAGTGAAGATGGGAGCTATAAGCCAGGAAGGGCCTAATTAGGATTGATTGATCTAAGGCAACCAATAAAAAGGCCTAAGCTGCTCCCTGTGTGAAGAGGATCTACCGTATCTTTAATTGTCCCAATTCAGATCCTTATCCACAGCACTGTACCATCTCTGATGCACCTGTAGATGGTCCATCAAGCAACAACAGGTAGACCCCAAGCAGATAGGAACACCAGAATGCTCCCATAAATTCCTTATTTCATGCAGACTAGGTGGCTCCAATATAACCAGTTAGGCACACCTTGTGTAAAACCATTCTATGATCTCTAGCTGACACTGGTTGAGCTAAGGACCATGTGATGAGGAGACCAGAGCCCTGGGAGCCCTAAAAGAAGTTTGATTCATTCTACAAACTCTTCTAGGCTGATGAGCATCCCATTTCCCAAACCTCAGACACAGAGTCACCTGGATTTTATTATTTAGTTATTTTTGAATTTATATACAGGTAGTCCTTGGTTTATGATGGCAATAGGGACTAGAATTGCTATAACTAAGTAATGCAGGCATGAATTGTGATGTGACATGACCATGTCACTTATCGATGGCAATTCCAGCAGTCCAGCTGTCATTAAATGAGGACTGTGCAGGTCATTATGTGAGGACCTCATGTGACCATGACTTCCAACTTCTTGCTGGCTTCCCCATTGACTTTGCTCGAAAGAAGGATTCAGATTCAGATTAACAGAGTTGGAAGGAACCTTGAAGGTCATCTAGTCCAACCCCCTGCCCAAGCAGGAGACCCTACACCATGTCTGACAAAAGGCAGTCCAGTCTCTTCCTGAAAGCCTCCGGTGATGAAGCTCCCACAACTTCCAAAGGCAAACTGTTCCATTGGTTGATAGTTCTCACTGTCAGAAAGTTCCTCCTTATTTCTAGGTTGAATCTCTCCTTGGTCAGGAAGGTGGCCAGGAATATCGTAAATCTCTGTCACATAATCAGGGAGATGCTGCAATGACCAGTACTACTGGAGTCATCATTCCTTCAGTGCCATCATAACTTTAAAAGATCATTGAACAAATAGTTTTATTGCCACCTAAAGTCACATTTCTGAGGTGACAGCTACAGACAGTCCTGAGGCTACAACTAACAATTAAAACAGTTGTAAGTAATT